GGGTAGCTTTGCACGATCGCGGCGGCAGCTGCCGCCGCCGGGGCGGCGCACGCACACCCCCACTGCGCCATTCACTGGCCTTTGTCGTTGCCCGCGAGGTCGGTGGTTCCGCTACTCTAGGGGTTGGATTGCCGCCGTCGTACAACCAGGGATCCGATATAGCAGGGAGCCCATGACCCAACAGCGCGTTTCGTCGGGGCCCAGCTGCTGCTAGCCCCCTGGCGGCCTGCTGCCTGCTGCACCCAGACCCCCAGACGCCTTGGAGGATGCTGCGCGTACGCCCACAGCGCCGGCCATTGTGCAGCCCTCCTGGGTCCCCCCCAAAAACAATCCTTCAGTCCCTGAGGGTTCCTCGCATCAGGCAGCCAAGCACACTCCGCGCCGGGTGCCCCCGTTATTATCCCGTTGCTTGTATTGCGGAATGAACGCGCAGCCACGGCCGAGTGGGCCCGAATCCAGCGGGCCCCAAGCGGCGCACCTCAGCACCGGCCAGCCAGAACTTGGGGAGGCCGACCAGGTCGGTGAAGAGGATGCCCGCGGCCGCGGCCATGGCCCAGCGGCCGTTGGTCAGCTCGCCCTCGCGGAACCACTTGAGGCTCTCGGGGTTGGCGCCCTGGGGGGCGGGTGAGGCGGTGCGTTGAGGCGGGGCGACGGGTGAGAGGGGGTGAGGGGAGGCGCCGCACGGTGCGGTTGCAGCGGTGCGGTTGCAGCTGTCGCGAGGCCGCAACGGCGCAAGCGCGGCGCCTGCTCTCGCGCAGGCGGCCGGATATGCGCGCGCGCCGCCCCCGCCTCCGGATGCGCCGGGCCCGCGGTCGGCGCACTCAGCGACGCGCCGCTGCGGTACACACGCCTCACATACCCACCAGGCGGAGGGGGTCGAAGCCGTAGTCGCCGGCTGCGAAGGCAGGCACACAGCAGGGCGGTTGGTGGGGGCGGTCGTGAGGAGTGACCCCGACGAGGGAGCGGGGGCTGGGGTGACAAGGGGCCGTCGGACTGGAAGCAAAGCCGAGGAGCACAGCTGCGATAGGCTGACGAGGGGCGTCGCTCGCGCGCAAAGCGTGTTCAGAACGCCCGGACGGTACGGCTGACAGGGCGGCGGAACCGCAGGCGCAAGAGGCATCCGCCAGACGCAAGATGCGGCGCCGCCGCTCGCGGCTGGGGCTCACGCAGGGAGCCGTCGAGGTAGCTCGGGGGCTCGGCCCCGGGGTACCAGGTGGGCCTGTCAGCGGCGGCGCGCACCACCACGCTGCGGCGCGACACCTGCAGGACGGCAGGGGCGGCAGGAGGGGCAGATCCGGCGCCGCGGCGGCACGCGGGGCAGCGGGCGTCGTCAGGACCGCCGCGCCTGGTTTGCTGGGGCACGACATATCTGACAATTAGCTGCGAGAGCTGAGCGGCCTGCCACAGCGTCTATTGGCCCTTGCGCTCATTCCCTCAGAGAACCGCAGTGTGGCCACATTGATCCGGCCTAACCCCTCCGTTCGCGTGCTGCAGATGCCCAAGCTGCAATTCAAAACGTCTGAAAGCATCTCCGCTAATCACCTGGGGGCGAACGCCCGCCCGCAGGGCCGTCTGAGCACGGAGAGCGGTCTGCATCGTGTGTTGGCCTGTGATGTCGGATCTCTGGGTGATGGCAACACGGAGGACGCAAAAGACGACGCCTCAGGCCGCCCAAACGGCCTGGAGGCCCCCCTTGCAGCGGCAGACGCACGGGCACTGTGAGAGGAAGCTGCCGCAGATTGCGGGACTGCAGCTCGGCGGACGCCGGCGCAGCGGTGTGCGCGGCCTCTACAGCAGCGCCGTGCAACCTGGAAGTGCCCCTGGCATCGCGAGCGGCTCACCATCGCCTGTCTTCCCTGAGGGCACATGCCTGCCCAGTGCGCCAACAACAGCAGTGATGCGGAGGGTCGTCGGGAGGGGCGTGATCATGCTCACGCCCGCTCGTCCTGCTCCAATGATGTGGTCTTCTCTGATTGCACAAGCGCGAGGTGCTTGCGGGGGCGAGGGCAGCCCGCGCTGTGGCTCTCATTGAGTGGAAAGGTTGAGCAACAGGCCTCGGTGGCGCATGGCCCGTCCCCTGCCGCAATGCGCAAAAGGGGGGAATAACGATTAGTCCTGATTGAAAGGTGGTCGCGCAGGAGTGGCGGCATCACTCAGGCATGTATCTGGCTAAGTTCAGAACTCGTAATAACTCCCTCGGGCGTTGCAAGACCTTACCCAGCCACCTGATAACAAGAGCCTCGCCACCGCATTCCTTGTCTCGCATGCTGTGGCAAAGGATGACTTTATTCAATGCAAATGGTCGTGCTTTGCCCCGCCTCATGCATCCCACCCGCAGCAGACTCGTCAGCCAGCCCGTTATGGCAGGTCGAAGGGCTCGCCGGGGGGCATGGTACTTGGGACGGGGTCCAGCACTCAGGTATCTTTGGACAGACATTTGATTTTCAATCAGCTCCGTCATAGCATCGATGCAGTGACGAAGGTCGATTACCGTGGGGCTGGTCAAGAGTAGTGACCACCCTAGACACTGCGCACAAGCGGATATGGCAAGCAGCAGTGTGCTCAATGCGAATGGGGTATCCCCGCTCATGCCCTCTCCACGTCTTGATGGTTTCGTTACAATAAAAGGGCCCACTGAGGGCAGGCATAGCCGCAGGCGCCTGAGTTTCAGGTGTTGCAGCGTCAACGGCACCCTTGGCTTTTTCGGCTCCCATCCATGTTCGCCGGGGCACGCCATCGCCATCACCCTGGCTCCGACGTGACTCGTGTACAGTTATGTAGATTTTTTATGAGATACAGCTCCCTTTCTCGCTAACTGCGATCACTTAGCTCCGAGGCTCACCACACACCCACCGCATCGAAGGCAGTCGCGGCTTCACCCAGAAGCGCGAGACGATTGGATTGAAAACAGTCGAATAATCACATATTGGAGCCATGCAGACAAGTGAGCTTGCAGCAGCTGGGCACGCCATTGCGTGCGCGTTGCGCTGCTGTTGCGCTCGCTGCCTCTCGCACGCACCCCCGCCCGGCGCCCCATTCGCCACAAACCCTGCGCCCTCTCCACCCGTTCAGCAGCAGGGGTGATGCGCGGCGCCGCTGGCACAGCTGGGCAGAGCCCGAGGGGCGTCTGCGGGCCGGCGCTGCAGTCACGGCTGCGCACCTGGAATGGCCGGACGGCCAGGGCGGTGGGGGTCGCGGCAGCGACGACGGCAGCCAAGGGCGGATCTGTGTCAGAGATGTCCCTGCAGATGCGCGAGGTGGGCGGGAAGCTGTCGCGCAGCTGCGGCGGCGAGAGGGCCAGCGGGGGGGTGGCCGCGACGCCGCGCGGCTGGCTCTCTTACTTGCGCGTGCATCCTGTTTATGGGCGGCGCGGGAAGCCGCAGGCCGGGAATCGCATGCGGACGCCCCACTATGCAGCAGCACATTCAGCTCATGACGCCTCGCGCCGGCGCTGCCGAGCGGCCACGCACCTGAAGACGGGTAGACCCCTCCGCGCGCTCCCGCCTGCCCCATGCCGCTGAGGCCCACACTCACTGGGTGTCTCCCGGTGGCCGTGCGATTTATCTTATTTGTATGTTATCCAATGTGATGCAATCAGGTCCGCAGCCGCATGGAGAAGGATGAGAAGCTGGGGGCGCTGATGGCGGGGTTCAGGGGAAGCAACCTGGACGATGCCGACTTTGCGCGCAGGTGTGTGTGTGTGTGTGGGAGTGTGTGTGTGTGTATGTGTTGTGTGTGTGTACATGTGTGTGAGTGAGGGTGTGCTTCGTGAGTGTGTGCGTGAGTGTGAGCTTGAGTGAGTGGGTGAGTGAGCGTCTGTGTGTATGAGTGTGTGTGCGCATGTGTCACCGCACGCACGCGACCGCGACCGCGTTGTCTTGCACCTGGGTAGGGGCGAGGGATGCAGTCTACGGCGCAGGCAGGCACCCGCGGCCTCTGTTGCACGCAGGGGCCCGCGTGGCAGAGCTGTTCGGGCGCACGTGCCTGCGCATCGCTTCTGCTGTGCGAGGGGACCTTGCGCTGAGCCGTCAGGCGTCAGCGCTTGTGCTCGGCAGCTGGCACACGCACGCCATTCGCCGAGCATTTGTCTACTTGTGTCGCACACAAACCATGCAACATTTGCGTCTGCACACGCGACCAAAAAACCCGCTCGTAACCGCCGCAGCGACACCTCCATGCGCTTCATGGAGGTGGAGGGTGATGCGGGCGAGCAGCTTCCCCTGGAATACGACCCGGCCGCCATCTCGGCCTACTGGTGGGTGGTGATTATCTGCGGGACATTCGTTGGAAGTTGGTCTGTTGTTTTTTGTGTTGGGGCCAGGTGTCAACTCAGGCCGGCGTGTCAGGGCTGTAAGAGTGTGACGTCTGCGTGCGCCGGCAGGCGCCGGCGGCCGCCGCCGGCCGCCGGTCGGGCGGCGGGCGGCGCCTCGGCACCAGCGGCTGGCTGGCTGCCGCCCTGAAAGATCTGGAAATGTTACTGTCGGACCACGCGCCCGCGCTCAGATGTGGCTGCTGCGAGGGGCTCGAACGGCCGGCCTTTCACTACACGAGAAGGGCGCCGCGCCGCCCGCGACCCAACTCCTCCCCTCCTTCGAATATCTCGCCCTCGTCCTCTGTGGCACCCACCTGCTGCGCCCCTTACCGACGCGTGTCCCCAAACCCTGGACCCCGCGCGTGTCGCCCCCCAGGGACGTGCGCCCCGTCAGCGTGGTGCGCCGCATCGTGCAGCTCATCGGCATCGCGGGCAGCTTCCTCACTGGCATCCTGACTGATGTCGCGACCGACAAGGTGCGGACCCTAGAAACTCGCGGCCTCATGCATGCACGCGCGCGCGCGCGCACGCGCATGCTGCCTGCCGCGGCAGGATTGCGCCGCGCGCCTTGTGCGTGTGTTGCTTGCAGCTGCTCAACTTCCCATCGACCAGCCCTGCGCTGCGCCTATGGTTGTTGCTGCCCCACGCCTGCGTCGGGTGCTCCGATGCCGCACCCTGAATGCCGGCCCCTGCTGCTCCTCAACAGCGCCGCGCCACCACCTCCATCCCCCGCATTTAAGCCGCGAAATCGTGATCCGACCCATTTCTCACTTGGCGCCACAAAAGCGTGGTCTCACCCGTCCCCCCCACTGCATTGTGACTCACGAGCTTACCCGCCCCCCGACTTGGCCCTGTCGCATGGGATCCCATCCCAGCCCCCCACTCTGCCATGTTGAACCCCCATGTGTACCCCACCCCACCCCCCACCCCCTTAGGTCAAGGCGAACGAGGTGAAGCGCGCCATTGAGCTGCGGGAGATTGTGACGTCACTCGGCCCCGCATACATCAAGCTGGGGCAGGTGACCGGGCGTGTGGGGGCGCCATTGATCACGCACGAGTGTTCGGGGGTGGCGGCGGGGTTTTGGGGGCTGCATGGCTGCATGGCCGCGTGGCTTACGTGTGGGTGGTGTGGGGTCTGGCGGGGCTCCTGTCACCGAGTGGGTCCATGCACTCATGCGTGCGTGCATCTCGCCCTCTTTGTTGCAACCCGTTGAACCCTCAAACCCGTAAACCCTGGACCCCGCCCCCAACCCCCAGGCGCTGTCCATCCGCCCCGACCTGCTGAGCCCCGCGGCCATGGGTGAGCTGCAGAAGCTGTGCGACAAGGTGCCCTCCTTCGACAGCAGGATAGCCATGCAGGTGGGCTGGGTGTGTGTGTGTGTGTGTGTGTGTGTGTGTGTTGGGGGTGGGTAGTATCAGGATCTCAGGGCGGATCACAAACATAACAGACTCGAGGCTTTAGCGGAGGGCGTAGGCGGGTTGCTTGTTTGAGTCTCTGTGGGCTGTTTGTTCCTTGGAGTGGGTGGTGTGCTTCGCGACAGAATGCTGTCGTGGCGGCAACATTGCCATGCAGGTGGGCCAGCGGGAGGGAAGGGAGGTATAGGGAGGGCGGAGCACAAGGGTTTGAAGAATTGAGGTTGTGGTGCAAGCAAGTTGGGAGT